AAACGCCCATGAAACTTCGTAATCATCATGGAGCTGGCTTATCCACTCTAAGGAATCAACCACAGTGAAGTAAAGTAAATGAGTAGTATGGAAAAATTGTATCACTTGTCTGCATCGAAATGGTGTCAAACGGATCATTACAAGGATTTCTTTGTGGGCGCAATGCTTTCAGGTTGCTGAAACCAGGCCCTGGGACTTAAACGATGTTAGTACCCCATAGATCGGGTTGCATTGCAGCTACCATTTAAAGTTAGATGACGGTGTCTAGGTTCACACCTCGGACTCAACAGGTAAATATTCCTGAAAAAGCAGCCAACTAGATCTGTTTGCTGGTTTGAAGATATTTGTACATATGAAAGAAGAAAGAAAAGAATAGTGTGCAACTAAGGAGAGATGCTTCGTATGAATGGCCTTTACGACAAATTACACAAACCCCGAGTAGTTACATTGGAAACAAAAGAGCATTTGGTTTAGAAAATTTTTCCGGGATGCTTTTCGATTGAGCAAATGGATTTTCTTATATAATCAGGGCGAGATTCGACCTACTCTACTTTTATCCATCACGACGAGAATGCACCTTGACGTGGTGTGATGGCTTGCGTGCATCCATGACCCTGCGAGCTACACAGGATGGCTTTTCACAGCCGTAGATCCAATCATGCTTGAAAGGTCAACTTTTAGAGACCAGACGAAGCGCAGTCTCACAAGGTCAGCTGCTTGGGCACCTGGTTTTCTTCTTCTATCCACACCCGCTCCTGGAGAGGTCACTCCAGCAAATAAACACTGTGAGGGGCAGTTTACCGGTCAAAAAATCCCCGCTGGATGGTCGTAGGAGTGGATTACCTTTGGCTTCTTCTTGACGGTGGGAGAAGTCTTCACACTTCATTGGACAACTACCGCCCACCCAAGCTGGGTAGCCCCCAGCCAATAAGGTACTGTCCCGTCCACGTTCCGCCTGTCTCATTTAGTGCATGAGGCTAAGGTCCGATCTCGAATAGCGGACCATCAATCAAGGCGTCAGCGAACAATACACTGAATCGAAGCCCAAAGACTTTGTGTGACAAGAGTGTAGAGGTTTCCAACGAAGATGGTGTTGATTAGGTGAACTGCCCAGGGGCCACGAATCCGTTTATCCTCCTCAGTTTTTTATCGCGGTATTCACGTTTGAGGTAGTTTTTTATCACAACAACAAAATTGAGACTGGTTATGAGTTGATTCACTTTGGTTGTTGCGATAAAAAGATACATCTCAAAGGTGATGAATGCCGCGACAAATAGCTGAGGAGGATAAACGGGTTCGTGACCTGCATGCAGGTCATCTAGTGTGCATTATATGACGTGTGCTTGTAAACTTTAGAGACTATTTTATTATCTCACGACTGACTTGTTGTCACTGATTTACCCTTATTAATTAAATACTTGGTTTTTTACTGATTGTGAAGAAAACTTAACGTATCCGGCAATGATTCGTCCATGGAAGCACAATGAGTGCGCACCATCGCTCATTTTTAATTTGTGAGACAAAATGATTCTTTGATTTTCAAAGTTATCGCTTTTTCGCTGCTATGTTTTTTTATCACGAAATTATCTGTTTTTCACACTCAGCATCGCTTTCCCCGAGGGAAATATGAAATCACTGTCGTGGTGATAGAGCATTCTTCTGTACCTCGTCCGATCCAGGGTGATGATCATCTGGCCGTTTGTTTAGCTTGTGCAGTGACTGGAGCCGGCCTTGCCCTGACAGACTGTGGCGCGCAGCTTTACGATATTCCCGTCGGGACAGTTGTAGATATGTCAAAATTTGGCCATTGCAGCGGACATCTTTGTGCAGCGGTTCTACCTCAGCTACAGCAAATCGCGATGATCTACGCCCATGACACGCGAATCAAAAATGAAGACGCCCTGAAGGACGCACTCCAACAGGCCATTCAAACTGCTGGACAAATGGCCCAGACCATAAAACACTGTGTCAAAGCTGACTTGGAAGAAGGTGTATGACATACTCATTGCCAAGCGTCACTCATGTATAAACTTGTTACATATACAGTCTTTTTCTGTTCTTTTTTATTGGGTATCACGGGTTTATGACTAGGTTAATTTTTCTATTACACACCAGTGTGTGATAAACAACAGACGAAGTGAACCCCACCATCACGACGACCTGCTGTTCAGTGATGTTAGTCGGAAACCTAATCCCCGGGACTTGGAGTGTGAACCACATAAGGCCCCGCTGGCTCAGGTGTGGTATAGAACCGGCCCACCACCAAAGTTGGGTGGCGGCGGCGGGGCTCGGACCATAGGGTCCAAAACAACCACTGCACCACCACCACCAGATAAACAGGTAATCTGATTCTCCCCCATGGATTACAGATGTTCCTTTTTTCTTATACCTTTATTTTGCTAGAGTCCGTATGCAACCCCCTCCCTCCCCCAAATGCTATATCACGAAGTACCCTATATTTTTTCATAAACTGAGGCCTTCATCCACTAGTGTTAAAAAAGAGTAATCTAACATTACTGCTGACTTTCGTTCAACAGTTTGATGTTTCCTCCTCAGTTCGAAGGAAGTCTCGTTCGGTTTGATCCAACCTTTTTCTTCACTCATTAAAGGAATCTTCGTACATTTCTATATTCTCCTTGTTTAGGGCAAGTTTACGTTGTTCTGTGAACGTAACTGGTTTAGCTTTTTGGTGGCGCTTGATCACCCTGAAGCAAACTATTAGGCGATCACATCATCTGTTGGTCTTTGTGTAATATAGATCGTTTACTTCTACTCATTCTGAAGCTATGAGCTGTAATAAAATCCTCGAGTATCTCTGGTACTCAGTGTATGTCGCTACGCGATTCGTATCTATGGTACTTTGCTAGTCGTTGATCGAATGCACGCACCCCGAGGTCAATAGCAATATCAGAAGATAATCGAAACGTCTCGGATTCTTGTCTTGGTGTGGTTCTGTAGTGATGAAGCCATACGTTAACTTACGGTCTGGTGAACAACAAGGTTGAAATCGAAAGGAAACGTACATTCGAAGTAATTTGACCAGCAGTTCAACAAAGAGCACTGATGCGCGGTGATCAGAGCAAAACAAGATGGCCAGCCGCCAAGACAAAGACCGATTACAGTCAACCAATATAAGATCCGGAAATGGAGAAGATCGTCCGAATAGTTTGACTAGTGACAACAGTCAATGGTAGCAATGGGACAGTTAAACATGTACAGAATGTCACAGCGTAGTAAGGGTATTGGCAACAAACAAGGCTCTTGACTTCCTCCTTGAATCGTCCATTACACAACGGCTTGTTTTCATTTATCTTTTGGTCATTGTACGAGTTCAATGAAACAAGCAGTACCGAGGTCAAACTCAGAATACTAGGTATTCGGGGTCGTTCACTTTTCATAGATGGCAGCATCTGGGTCTTTTGTTGTCCACACGGCGTGTGATGTTTACCGAGGTGGTCAGTGAGTGAAAGAAACTCAGACCTACCTAATCTAAGAACACGGATAACTTGATCATATGGTTCGTGTTAGGTGTCCTGATCGGGGTTCTTAGGGTCAGTCAAATCGATGTTTAAACGCATTGGATGGGCGTTGAAAATACTGATGCTTGTAGATTTAATCCCCGTTCTTTCGCAACAGATGGTCTCACGTTCCACGTCGTTGTCTTGGTGGCATTCTTTCATTCGTCTGAGTTTTCGTCCGGTGATCATAGAGATGATCAAAACTGAAGCACCGAACTGCGGATTCAATGCTTGTCTAAACGGACTGTATACAATGAACATGGAATCACAATTGTGGGATTAATGTCTTGTATCGTATAACCGGACTAATTAACCACGTAAGCCAAATGACGGTTTCGTGACAAAGGTCGATGTGACTAGCCCTTTAAAACTAAAGTCATTGATCTCCGGGGCGAGGGATTACTTCCTCCTGTCTTCCAGTTCGCACTTGGTTGCGCAAAGGCTAGAGATGCGCCCTCAAAACAAAAAAACACACCGACTGACGCTGGGAACTTCTCTCGTACCAAACTCCCAAGGAACTTCATGAGCATGTCTTCTGCAAGCTTCGTTACTCATGTTACGGCGTCCCCGGTAAGCGACACACTCCTCCAGTGGTCGGGGTGTCAGGAATACGAACAGGACCTCCTCAATCTCAACGTAGTAAGCGCCTCTACGTGGGATGCTGGAATGTGAGGACCCTCTTGGACGTCGGGAGTCAAACAGTGACTGTGCCCACGTTACACGGCTATCGCGTGGATGTTGCATGTTTATCCGAAGTGCAATTAGCCGGTTCCAGCTCCCGCAGCATCAAGGTTCCCGGTTCTGATAGCCGCTACTATTTTTACCATAGCGGCCCAGAAATTTATGGTCAATAGGGATTGGCTTTAGCGCTGCCCTACTCTCTTGGGAGCCAATGTCGTCAAGGATCGCCTTATCACTCTTCAAAGGTAATCTTACAAACCTCAACGTGGTAACAACTCTACCATCTGACAGCACAATGAAGGACGAGTTTCACGGAAGTCTTCAGGAGGTAATAAACTGCATCCCCAAGAGAGATGTACTTATCGTGGTGGGAGACTGGAATGCTCGAACAGGTGGGCAAGGACCTTCAACAAAACATATCATTGGGATATTTGGGCTAGGTTATCACTGCGAAAACAGTAACAGACTAATTAACTAATCCGGCTTTAGCCGGCTATCTATAATCAACACTTGTTTCCAGCACCCCAGGAAGCATCTTCTTACCTGGTACGACGGGATCCCACCAGATCGACTATATACTGATACGGTCACGTTGGATATCATCCGTAGAAGGTTTTATGTTATATCGTGATGCCGAAACTGTTAAAAGAGGTGGCTCTGATCACATACTGGTTCGTACGAAACATTGCCTTCGGTTGACTACTCGTGTCAAGACCACCCCTCCAAATCGCATCAAAGTGGGTTTCCGTTCCCCAAGAAGGGCGACAAGACACTGCGAGAATTATTGGGGTATCAGTCCGCTAAACGTGCCCGCAAAAGGATTTGCCCAGCTCTTGCTTAATCGTTTTGCTACAGTGAGGCATGCACATGCTCGGCCAAATCAAGAAGGCCTCCGACCCGGCAAAGTTTTTATCAATCATATTTTCATCCTAAGGCGAATTCTGGAACACCGATACGAGTTTCAGCGTCCCACCACTACAAGCTTCATTAACTATCGCACCGCATTCAGTGAACCGCGAGTCACTGAAGAAGATAATGCTTGCAGATGGCGTCCCTGCGAAGTTGGTCAATATAGTTAGATCGTATTACACCCAATCATTATATTTCACACACGTCTGGCGCTAGACTGTGAAGCAAACAAATCATGGTACAATAATCTTT